TGTGTAAATTACATCAGCATTTTGTTTGTCTTCCATGGCATCTAGTGCCATGTCATAGTGGTCCAGCAACTGTGATAGGCAAGAGCGCCCTGTTCTGAAACCATGTTGTCCGGGGTTATGGAGATGCTGTGATTCCATGTATTTTGTGATCTTACTTCTTAGCACTCTCTCAAAGATTTTTATGATGTGCGATGTTAGTGCTATCGGTATGTAATTTTTTGTCTCTGCCTTATTTCCTCCTTTATGGTGCGGTGCTATCTCTGCTGTTTTTAATATGTCAGGGATAATGCCAGTATCTAGACTTTGTCTCCAAAGAATGTGAAGGGCCTGCGAAGTATGCATAGAGTAAAATGTTCATAATGTTTCATGTAACTGTGATATGTGTGTCAGTAATGTGTCCACAATAAATGTTTATTGTCGCAATATTACTTATTCAAAATTCACTAAAATTACAATATGTACGGTTCCACACACTATTTGCACAGTAACACACTGTATTACACACTCAGTACCTTGAAAGTGAGTGATAAACAACGAAGCAGTCCATGGTACACAGCGCAACTTCGCTCTCGTTACACCAGGTACAGATAGAGTTTTGCTTCCTGTTTCTTCGTTCTGTGTGCTTGTAAATAACGCACTCACATACACCCTTGGCTTTAGTACCCATAGGTGGTATGTAGCCAAGCTTGTTAAGCGTAAGGTAGTGTTGAAAAGATTATAGGAAAAGATCAATTTGTCAGGTAGTCTTGAAAAGATTGCTTTGTAAGGTCCCTCACAGGAAGAGTTTCAGTTATTATGGAAGAGATTTAGTCATTCTGGAAGAGATTCAGCTATTCTTGAAAATATCTATGGAAAACACCACCACGGAAGCTGCTAACACTGTTCATCTATGCTACTTGTATCAGATGCATCATTACTGAACCCAGGAAAATGATTCATCTATATATCATCTATAAAAATTGTAGATCGCATGGGTGGGCAAGGGTGGCGCTCAGAGCTACATTTGGAAATGCTCACTGTATCGTCCTCATCGGTGCTGTATCACTTGCATCCGACCTCTGTGGTTAGGTCCTTATTATGCCTCGCTTCATTAGTATCATGACCCTTATGTTCTTCAGGCAATAAGGTCTAGATTTCACCGACAGAGAGCGATTTTTCAACACTGTGTCGGCAGGTATTTGGGAGCCAGAGGCGCGTGCGTTACCCATTGTTGCTCACTCAGCACTAACCCAGCCAGCAGCCCTAGGGCAGTCTGAGAATTTTTTCCAAGATGGCTGCCTCTCACTGGAGATCCCAAGAGTCCATTTTGTAAACAACCTACGCGTACGCATTTTGAATGTAAACAAAATATTCAAAAGGTGTTTTCTCGGTTGGCGCAGTTTCCCACCAACCAAGTTTTCTCTGTTGGCGCAGCACAGTGGTTAAGGGATAAACATGCCAAAACTAGAAGATAGTAGAAAAAAGAGGTGATATGATCACTACATACAAAATTCTAATAGGAATCGACCAAATTGATAAGGAAGAATTCCTGAAATCAGAAACATCACGTACAAGAAGATACAGATTGAAGCTAAGGAAATAAAGGTGTCGACAAAACATTAGAAAGATTTCTTTTGCAAACAAAGTGGTAGATGGATAGAACAAACTAAGTGAGAAGATGGTAGAGGCCAAAACCATCAGAACTGTAGTTTCAAAGTGTTAAACGACAAAGAGTACTGGGAAGACGGGACACCACGAGCATAGCTCTCATCCAGTAACAACACTTAGGTAATTACACACACACACCATTGACAAATGTAAGAGTCAAAATATTGGAAAAAATAATTAAAATTAAATGGTAGAACACTTGGAGAAAAACGATATAATATCAGAAAAACAGTATGGTAACAGTATGGTAACAGTATCAGTAACAGTAACAGTATCAGTAAAACAGTACAGACCAAATTGATAAGGAAGAATTCCTGAAATCAGAAACATCACGTACAAGAAGATACAGATTGAAGCTAAGGAAATAAAGGTGTCGACAAAACATTAGAAAGATTTCTTTTGCAAACAAAGTGGTAGATGGATAGAACAAACTAAGTGAGAAGATGGTAGAGGCCAAAACCATCAGAACTGTAGTTTCAAAGTGTTAAACGACAAAGAGTACTGGGAAGACGGGACACCACGAGCATAGCTCTCATCCAGTAACAACACTTAGGTAATTACACACACACACCATTGACAAATGTAAGAGTCAAAATATTGGAAAAAATAATTAAAATTAAATGGTAGAACACTTGGAGAAAAACGATATAATATCAGAAAAACAGTATGGTTTTCGATCTGTAAGATCCTATGTAATGAATTTACTCAGTTTCTATGACCGAGCTACAAAGATTTTACAGGAAAAAGATGGTCGAGTTGACTGCATCTACCTGAACCTAAAAAAAGACTTTCGACAGTTCCGCATAAGAGGTTGTTCTGGAAACTGGAACATATTGGAGGGGTGACAGGTAAGCTTCTAACATGGATAAAAAAAAAAATTTAACTGATAGAAAAATGAGGTCAGTAATCAGAGGCAATGTATCGGACTGGAGAAATGTCACAAGTGGAGTACCACAGGGTTCAGTTCTTGCACCGGTAATGTTCATTGTCTACAAAAACAATCTACCAGATGGAATACAGAATTAGCATCATCAGCAAACTAGCACTTAACTACAGACCACTGACAAGCATTCCCTGCAAAATACTTGAAAGAATAATTAGGCTAAGACTTGTTGCACACCTGGAGAGTATTAGGTTTGTAAACAAACACCAACATGGGTTCTGAACAAGGAAATCATGCCTAACAAACCTTTTGCAATTCTATGAAAAAATAACAAGGATAAGGCAGGACAGAGAAGGTTGGGCAGACTGCATATTTCTAGACTGCCAAAAGGCCTTTGATACAGTACCACACACGAGACTGCTATTCAAACTTGAGAGGCAGGCAGGAGTAAGCGGAAAGGGCTTAGCATGGGTAAGGAACTACCTAATAGGAAGGAACCAGAGAGAAGGGGTAAGGGGCGAGAAGTCGGACTGGCGAACAATAACGAGTGGAGTACCTCAAGGATCGGTGCTGGGACCAATTCTATTTCTAATTTACGTAAATGACATGTTTACAGGAGTGGAATCCTACATGTCAATGCTCGCAGATGATGCAAAATTAATGAGAAGAGTTGTGATAAATGAGAATTGTAGGACCTGCACAGGTTGCAGAGATGGTCAGAGAAATGGCTACTGGAGTTCAACACGAGTAAATGTAAAGTTATGGAAATGGGATCAGATGATAGGAGACCAAAGGGACAGTACCTGTACACAATGAAGAGGAACTGCCTACCTGTAACAATTCGAGAAAGAGACTTGGGAGTGGTCGTAAGACCTGATCTAACTCCAGAGGCACATATAAATTGGATAACGACAGCAGCGTACTCTACCATGGCAAAAGTTAGAACATCATTCAGAAACCTAAGTGAGGAGGCTTTTAGGGCACTTTACATTGCCTACGTGAGACCAGTCTTAGAGTATGCCGCGCCATCATGGAGTCCCCACCTGAAGAAACACATAAGAAAACTGGAAAAGGTTCAGAAATTTGCAACGAGTCTTGTCCCAGAGTTACAAGGGATGGGATATGAAGAGCACCTGTAGGAACTGAACCTTACGACACTAGAAAAAAGAAGGGAGAGAGGGGATATGATAGGAACGTATAAAATACTCATGGGAATTGACAAAGTGGAAATAGATGAAATGTTCACACGTAATAGTAACAGAACGAGGGGACCTGGGTGGAAACTGGAAACTCAGATGAGTCACAGAGATGTTAGGAAGTATTCTTTTAGTGTGAGAGTTGTGGAAAAATTGAATGCACTTAAGGAGCAGGTTGTGGAAGCAAACTCTATTCATAATTTTAAAACTAGATATGATAGGGAAATGGGACAGGAGTCATTGCTGTAAACAACCGATGGCTAAAAAGGCGGGATCCAAGAATCAATGCTCAATCCTACAGGCACAAATAGAAGAGTACAAATAGGTGAGTACACACACATACACACACACACACATTGAGAACACTGCTTCTCGTTTGATCAGCAAAGTTAAGTAATGTTGTGTTTGGTTAGAACTGGGATGGGTGACTACCTTGGAACACCAAATGCTGTTGGCAATAATTTAATTTTTAACAAGTTAGGTGAGAAGGTGGTGGAGGCCAAAACCGTCAGTAGCTTCAAAGCGTTATATGACAAAGTGCTGGGTAGACAAGACACCACGAGTTTAGCTCTCATCCTGTAATTACACTTAGGTAATTACACTTAGATAATTACACACACACACACACACACACACACACACACACACACACACACACACACACACGCACACACACACACACACACACACTAATGTTGGATCGTCATCTTCAACATACACAAAACACTCCATGTGAGAGTTTGAGTGCTTCATATTTATTATACTAATTTTAATATACAAGTTACAAGGAAACTTAACATATAAACATGTTGATCATCAGACAACATTTGAAAATACTGGAGGGGAAAAAGGATTGAAGAAGACATGCAGGGATGGAACATGTATGGCAGTGAGGAAGCATTCTGGTGTAAACATTCCCTCTAGCAAGGTTCAAAATGCCTCAACCAGTTGCCAACTAATTTCCACTCAGCATATAACTGTCTTTACCACCACCTTTGTAACCAAGGGTGCAGGCCAATGCAGGAAGGAAAAAATTGAAGCACCTAAATCCACTTTATGTATAGAATGAAGCTAGAATGGTTCCTTGTTTTTTCTTGGTATTATGATTGGTATATACAGTAATTCTATTAGCACCTCAATCAAAACAGATACAGTAGTGCAATCAAGATAAAAGTAGGACTTACCACAAAAAAAAAAAAAAATTGGCCACATATCTACATTTGCTCATGCAGTATAAGAAGCTGGTCATGCACAGTTAGTGATGGTGACAGTACTTGTTCGGTCTGACAGGCTATGTCACAGCCTTCGACCGTTGGCCCCCTGATCGGTGCGCCTCCAACTGCCCCCGACCCGGTAGCCGAGGCGGGGGTGCGGGGGCTGTGGAGGATGACCTGTGACCCTGAGTGGTCCAAAGTTCCGCCTTTTGTGCCACCTCCACTCGACCCACGGCCAGAACGAGGACTTGGCCTGGCCTGGAACAATACCACCCTCCTCATTGCCGTACATTTAGAGAAAACAAGTTTTTCGCTTGGTTAAATGGCTGCTGGAAATATCAGGTTTAAAAGGCCTCACCTGGATGATACTGTGCCAAATTTTCCAATCTCGCTGAGGTGCTTTGTATCTGTAAGCCTTGGGGTGCACTCTTAGAAAGTTTATTTACCTATTTGCAACACACACAAATATTTATTACTTCAAGGAGGCTACTGATGCTAATGCTGGCAAACATACAAAATACAAAAAAAGCTGAAATTAGAGAATGAAGGTAAGGTATTCCAAGGAATCTAACTAACAGCAGTAACTCTATATATGTGAAGTACAACGAGATAAAAAAAATCTGAACAAAAAACGTAACTCAAAAATAAGTTTTATGATATTAGATATAAACAGGGTTGAATGTAATGAAATGCCTTTTCTCGGCTGGGCCTCAGTGGTTCCCTGATTTTGTCTCACTGAGATGGCTTCCTTCTACGGAGTCACATAAACCATAAGGGTCCTGTATTAATTACCAGGGACCAGAGCAGCATCCTGGCCCTCCCTCTTACAGAGGCACAGAGAGCACGACTTTTAAGATCACCCTTACTGAGAAAACATCCAGAACGTATGTGAAGCGAATACAAACAACTGCAAGATTAACAGAAACTGAAGCACCAAATCAACCAAATGACTGCACAGGCAATTCATTTAAGCCTAAATAATTCACTCTAAACTAGCTCGAACTCCTTAGTGCAAATGGCTTGTAACAGAGGCAGCCTCCTGGGAGCTGCCACTGTTTTTACTGGCAAGAGCCAATAAAAAGCCTTAAGATATGTATCCTAGATTGAAGTGATCACTGTGAATTGAGGGTAGGAAAGAAATACCAAAACCGTATTGAAATACAGTGGCCCCTTTATTTACAAATTTAATCCATTCCCAGAGACGGTTTGTAAGCCGAAAATTTGCAACCCGAAACAAATTTTCTCGTAAGAAATAATGTAAATTAAATTAATCCGTTCCACACTCCCAAAAATATTAACTTCAAAATACACTTCATACCTAATTCCCATAAATATTTAGTACCATAGTGTGTACAAGTTATAGCTACCTTTATTGATGACTCTTATTGGCATATAGAAGATGGTAAGGAGGGAGGAAGAAGAAATGTTAGTGTTTGAAAGAGGAGTCCCCTTACATTATAACATCAGGCAGTGATGACTTCTCTGGGGTATTCTCTCTCCTATGTTTTGCAGGAATACTACTAGGACCTTGTTGTGGTTCACTGTTTTTTTCTCACTAAAAATCTTTCCATAGAGACTTGTTGTTGTAGAGACCCTAAGTTGTAACACTTGTCTGTAGTGAGGCATCACAGTATCATTAAAAAGATTAAGGCAACGGCCTACTACAGCTTGCTCTGGGCGAGTCGTTTCAACAAAAGTTTGCATTTCTTCCCATAGTCTACACCACTTCTTAACTCTTTGAGGTTCCACAGACTGACTATTAAGTCACTCATTTTTCTACTGAATGTGTTCCAATGACGCAGTACTGAGTCACTCATTAAAATATTTTTTAAAAATTTAAATTTTATCAGATCAATCTGGTAGTGGTTTTAAAATAAGCGCCTTTAGATTGCACACAATTTGATACCAAAATCAAAGATATAACATGAAACTTGATGTCCAAACACTTGAAATATTATAAATAGGCCTATGGTCCGAATATTAAAATATTTGTTAAAATTCTATTTATTGTCCTATTATCTTGGGTTTTGTTTTAAAATGCGCGCCTTTTTATTGCGAACAATTTGATACCAAAATGAAAGATGTAACACAAATATTTATGTCAGAACACTGGAAAGATATAAATAAATTTGTGATGATGAGCGTCCAGAATTGAAATACTTGTTAAAAATCCAGTTATTGCTCTGTTATTCTGGGACTAGTTTTAAAATACTCGCCTTTTTATTGCAAACAATTTGATACCAAAACGAGCGACGCAGCACGAAATTTGATGTTATCAAATTGAACGAGTTGAACATTAGGTTGCAGTGTACAAAATGGTGCTCGTTCACGGGTAACTTTAGGCTTTTCTGCGGGGAGGCACTCCAGCCTTTTGTACATTTTATTCATACACATCTGTAGGGAATTTAATTGCGAACACAATGATACCAAAACGAGCGACGTAGCACGAGAATTAAGGTAAAAAAATGGAACGAGAATGCACATGTTACTGATTTTGTGCGTTTTTGCCGACTTTACGCTTTGCTGTTGGGAGTCACGCTAGGCTTTTGGACATTATATTTATACACACCTGTAGAGAATTTATTTGCGAACACAATGATACCAAAACGAGCGATGAAGCACGAGAATTAAGGTGAGAAAGCTGGAACGAGTATACACATTTGGGTGTCACCGCGCGCTTACCCGCACGGAGGGGCCACAATCCCCCTGTCAACCGCGAGTTTCCACGGAGCGCGAAAGTGTTATTTGTTGAGGAAGGGACATTCTGTACTGCCTCCTCATTCATTTCCTCAGCTGCTTCTTGTTGCTGCTCCTTGTGAAGGGCTAGGAGTTCTTTGGTGATCAGTTCTTCGCCGAGTTCCTCCATCAACTCAACACACAACACTCGCAACACTGTGAATGCCACTTCTTTTTCTAAATTTCTCAAACCATCCCCTGCTTGCCTTAAACTCTTTCGTACCTGTATCAGTTGTTCTATGGGTTTTCTTTAAAAGCTCTTCATGCAATCGCCTTGCTTTTTCACAATTGATGACCTCTGAAATGCTATCACCTACTAACTCCTTGTTGTATATCACAATTAATAGCAACTTTTCAACATCCTCAAGTGTTTGTGTTTTTTTTTATGATTGTTGATAGGCCTTTTGTCAATTTAGCATTCATAATGTCCTATTTTTAGCAATTACAGTGCATATCGTTGACATAGATTTGTTGTACTGCCTAGCTAGTTCAACAAACCGTGTACCATTTTCCTGTTTACGAATGATCTCTTGTTTTTGCTCTATGGTTGGCTTCACATGCATTTTCTTAGGTTGAACCTTACCACTAACTTTCTTGGGACCCTTGGGACCCATATATAAATAATTACTTTTATGTTCAAAACCCCCCCAAAAAAAACAAAAAACAATTAAATTTTTAACAATGAATTCATGCGCGATCATTACTAAGCGGGAGGCACTGATAAACTGAAGTGCAAGTGACCATGCCACCAGGAACTACATGCTAGGTCGCTCATACGTGTATCAACAAACTGCGTTACCCAAGGCAAAGCTTGAAAGCAGATTCACATTTCACGAAGAAATTGGGCTCATAACCCGAAAAGTTTGTAAATAGCGGCATTCGAAAGCCAAGGTATCACTGTACCATGACAGCTAAGGAGGAATATGAGCTGGTCAGAAGTGAAATAAAGCAAGAGGCAACACCAACAAGAATGGCTCCACCAAGGCCGAGCATTAACCCTTAAATTGCGCATCGCATCATATGATGCTTTGACCGACTTGCTGTAAATTGCACACCACATCATATGATGCTTTGGAGTACTACGCAAGATTTAAACGGCCTGCGGATACACGGGGTTCACCACACCTTCATCAGGGCTCTTGTAAACAGACGCAATTTTTTTTTTTAAATCGTGGGCCAAATTCCCGGGTGTTAGGGGCCTCAGTATTGAGTGAGCTACCAAGCCTGACGCACGCAGCATGAGCTCACAGCACTGCTGTTCAGCTTGTGACCACAGCATCGACTAAAAATGCCATAATATACTTGTTCATGATATTATGTAGCGATGATATTATTACAGAAGCCCCCTGACTGTGATAAAACTGACCAGGGTTCTGATAATAGCAGGATTGTGGTGATATTTAGCACTGTGCTCCATGGAGGGAGGAGTAATGCTGTGGGAGGAAGGGTAGTGGCGTTGTCTTCTGACTGTGTGTGGCCACCTTTTATTGACTGCACTCACCAGAGCCGGTCCGCCGAGCGGACAGCACACGGGACTTGTGATCCTGTGGTCCTGGGTTCGATCCCAGGCGCCGGCGAGAAACAATGGGCAGAGTTTCTTTCACCCTATGCCCCTGTTACCTAGCAGTAAAATAGGTACTTGGGTGTTAGTCAGCTGTCACGGGCTGCTTCCTGGGGGTGGAGGCCTGGTCGAGGACCAGGCCGCGGGGACACTAAAAAAAAAAGCCCCGAAATCATCTCAAGATAACTTCAAGATAACCAAACCAGCTTAGTGGTTCGCAATGGTGAACACAAATGTAGATAATTATATATAACGTGTGTATAGAGGGTATAAACAGCAAGAGTAGGAGGTTGGGAGCCACCATTTTGTTGAGGGCGGTGGCATCATCTGCACGACTTATCATGTTGTTTACTGGTGACCACTATGGCATTTGGGCACCATACCAGTTTACTTGTACAAGTATGGTGAATAAAACAGGTAGATACTTATATATAATGTGTGTATATAGCGTAATAACACCACAAACAGTATTGTTGGAGGAGAAATATTAGTGCGCCTGGCCTTGAGGTTTGCTGCCACCAGCTGACTGTGTGAGTAGCTACGTTTTTGTGCCTTTACTCACCATACAAGCTTATATGTATAGTTATGGTGAACAAAACATGTAAATACTTATATATAACATCTGTATATAAAAGCAAAAACAGTATGGTGGGAGGAGAATGGTGGGAAGTCAGGTGAGGTGAGGAAGGGAGGGAGTGGCAGCCAGTGGCGGGTTGCCACTGGCTGCCATTGCCACTGCCACTCAGCATATCAACTTAGTGGTTCGTTATGGTGAACACGAATGTAGATAGATCGCCCACATTCTCCTCCCAACAGTATGTTGGGAGGAGAATGTGGGCGAGTGAGGTGTTGAGGGAGTGATTGGCTGGCTGGTATGTGGCGGTCAATTCTCGTTACTTTTTGACTCATAATAGCAACTTGGGGGTTCGTTATGGTGAACAAAACATGCAGTTACTTATAT